CCCCCACTGTGACCCATCCACCAGTGAAGAAGCCCACCGGTGGGGTCCTGCAGGGTTAAAGAGGTCAGGAAGTTTCTGGACCACAGCGGGGACGGAAGACCAATAAGGGCACTGCATCTCTTTGTGAGTCAGCTATCACCGGAGTCTGCAGCCGCCTTCAGAGCATCAGCGTGTTTTTATTCTTCAGCAGCTCGACCGTTAACGGTGTTCACACATCACTATGCGAAGAGGCAGAACGCCTCTGAAGAGCCTGGAAACTGTGGGCATGTGTGCGTGACGTACACTCTCGGCTCTGACTGGTCTGTTTTCACTTTGCCACCATACCGGTGCTGTTAGCTGTTTTTTCCACTCATGACTCCTGGTAGCTTGTTAAAGTTCTATTGGCCAATCAAATATGGAGGAATAGAAATCTATCTGTAATGTCGTCCTGATTGGAATCTATTCTGCACAACATCTGTTTCCTGTCTGTCCTGAAAGATCAATCCCCTGTTTTCCTGTTACAAGGGGAAAATCAAGGATCTAAGGACAGAACTGTAAGGACTCTACGTACCAGGGGCGTCACTTTGTGTTCAATCCACCAACGCGTCCCTGAGCAAGACCCTTAACCCCTCATTGCTCCAGAGACGTGCAGCACCAGTCAGTAACTTTAACAACTTCTAGACCAAGTTGTCCGTTCTCTCCCTGTGAACGTGACCTGGGCTTGACATTATTTTTTTTGCTCACTAGCTAATGTGTCTAGTGATTTTCCAAAGTTACAAGCCACACAGCATTTTCACTAGCCAAATTTTTGTTTTTGGGAAATTACGTTTTACATGATTAAAGTTGACAATGACGTGCTAAAATGTACTAATATTATCATTAGCTCTGATAAGGTTGTGTGTAAAGCTCCTTTTTTGTCTGTTAAAAATCAACTCTGGAAAGGCAGTTGTGATATGATGATTTCATGATATAAAGGCAGCCTTGCTAGTAGTAACACCACATCTCTTAATCATGAATACATCTGTAATGTTGCAGCATTTAAGGGCACTTTCCTCCTTTCTTTATCTCAGCTCTGTCTTTTCTCTTTCTCTCGTTCTGCTGTGCATTTCTTCTTCACTGCTCGGCCACGCACGCTCACGCACTGACTGACCGCTGTGTTGATGTGTGTGTGCGCCATCAGTCGCGTGTGATGACAGAGATCATCAGGTGAAAAGCAGATGGGAGTCTACAGGTCTCAGGGAGTGTGGCTGCCTGTGACAGATTCAACTTTTCTATTCTCTTTGACAAAAGTCTGGATGTCATGTTTGGCGTGTGCACCCTCGCGAGAGAGGTGAGAGTGCGAGACGCGGCGGTTGTGTGGATTCCCGTGATATTAAAAAAGCTTGCTTTGTCTTGTTTGCAGTGTCGTTGGTCAGTAGCGCGCAAGACAATAGGCTTCACTAATGGACCAATGAGCAGATGTGCATGTAGTAGTCATGGGAGTTGTAGTGTCGTAGTGTCACGTTGCATGTCGTTTGTTATTTCAGTCTTTTGACAAGACTACATGCCAAAGTGGCTAGTGGGAGTGACTGTGTTACGAAATCCACCCGCATTTGGCGGGTTGGCGGGTGTTAATGTCAAAGCCCTGAACATGACAAAAGAGGAGGGAAGACTAAATCACGCCTGCATGTGTGTTGCCTGAGCAGAGATGATGTTACAGGAGAAAAGTTAATCAACAGATCTGAAAGCAGCACAGAATGACTCTTAGATTCTGTTTTGTTTATTTGTTTCCTTTTACACGAATAAAATCATTTCCAACATAAATTGGTGCAGAAACTTTCACCAGAATGCAGGAAATGAAGTGTTGTGGGCCCTGCAGAGCTCATCTATCTCTGCATTGAGGATGAGGATAAGACACGTGCCTTTGGCCTGAGAGCCCCGGGTTTGAATCCACTATGAGACACCAGTGTGTCCCTGAGCAAGACACTTAACCCCTCGTTGCTCCAGAGGCGTGCGACCTCTGACATGTAGCAGTTGTAGCAAAGTGGCTTTGGATAAAAGCGTCAGCTAAATGAATAAATGACGTTTTCCTAAACCTAACCAACGTTTCTGAGAGTCTAACCGTTGCATATTTATTGTTGCTAACTTGACTGCGGAGCCCTGCACGTCGAAATACAACGCTAAAGGGAACCCAGGGCTTCAAAAAGCGTCTGTATGTGAGGAGTTGGGAGTGAGAATGTGTTGGCTGTGAAAGCCCCTCAGGGCATAGCTATTTTGGATTTGCAATATTAGGAATTTATAAATACAATTGACTTGACAAGTTTACAGAAATTCAGGGAGGAAAGTAAGTAAGATAATAATAAAAGAAACCAAAGGAATGAAACAAAAAGCAGAAAGACTTCCTGGTACCAGTGTTGTGTTAGTTTCCCTCTGGCGGCTCACTGCTGTCTTAATTAGCTCGTTTCACTGAGCAGCTTTCAGCGTTTGTCAGCAGCTTGTTCATCTCAGCACTGCTCTGTCCATTAAAGACTCCTGCAGGACACGTTCACTGAGGCTGGGAAACTCCAGCTTCAGGCTGTGAAGTGAACGCAGCACGAAGACGCACAGAACCAAACGTCCTTTGGTAACACAGCTCTGCAGACTGCGTGCACAAAGCTGCTTCTATATTCACGCAGAGCAGCAGGACTGATGCTGCAGCTGAAAAGCTCTCACATCTTTTTCAAGCAGCAGCAGTGACATTAACTGTGACAGAAAGCTGGAAATGGACCACAGACTCAACCAACGCAGATGCTATATCCATTTAACTCCAGGAACCATCAGAACGGAGAGAACAAATGTGCTCCCATTTCCTGCAGCTCCTGTAACGCGGCTACAGAGAAACGACTGTAACTGCTCCAAAGGCCATTTCTGATTAGGGAAATTGTGATGGTTTCTGCATCTAATGGCACCGGAGACCAACACAGACTGTTAGCAGTGTGCTCAGCAGGTAGCTGGGAAAATACATCTCATTTGGCCGCTGTGGGTTTTTGTCAAACATCCAGCTGTTGTTTCAGCCCTCTTTTCAAAAAGCAGACCCATTTCCCTAAACTCTACACACAAATCCCTTCATTTCTCACAGCCTGCACCATGTGGTCACTGAGGAAACACTAACTAACAATACTGTTGACTGAAGTCAGCTACCCAGGTACCCCACACCAACCAGAAGCTTCACCAGGCAGATAAAAGGGCGGAAGAGGTCCAGGACACCAGAGAGGAGGAAGAAGAGCAGTATGGAGAGGGGTACAGTAGGAGCTGGAGGAGGAGACTGGACAGGAGGAAGATGAGGAGGAGGAGGAGGACAGGATTCTCCGGCCTGTCCCAGACCAAAGGAAAGATACTGGGGCAGAATTAGAGGTGCAATAACTAATCAACGTAGTCGACAAAAATCGATTATTAACTCTGTTGCCAACTAATTTAATAATCTATCCGTTCATGACGTCATCGGGCCCATTTATACTCCTTTATACTTGTACGTAGGTAATTTATTAGACACCACCGGACACAGTTCTCTTGTCTTGAGGCTAATCCGCCCCAGACTCCCTCACAGAGTTTTGTGAGTTGTTGAGTTGGGGATGTTGTCAATGTTGTGAAACGCTGTCTACTACAAAATCGTTATTATTGGTTCTCTCTTGTAAATTTGGCCAATGTAACACGTGACGTTATTCCCGTCTTTGTATAAATATAGTGTCAGTTTGTCCCGGAGTGCAGTACTGCCGTGTGAACTGCTCCGTCCCTGAACAGCAGATCAGCTGCTCAGACCTCCTGTTGCTGCAGCAGAAACTTTCATTAAAAGATTGATGGATTGTTAATTAGCACATGCCTAAGACAACTAAGTTTATTTTAAAAGCTGAATGAGAGGCATTGTGTAATTTTGTGATTCGTAATCCGAACAGTTGATCATTCGTTTCAATAATCGATAGATTAATCGAAAATAGTTGTTAGTTGCAGCCCTGACAGAATAATGAGTAGTTTGTGTTGTACTGTACAGCACACTAAGGAATAAAAAAAAGAGCGAGTGTATACATGTATTTGTTGTTTCTCTTTTCTGAGGAGGAAAACCACAAGCAACATTACTAAAAACCAGTTTTTGTAGTATTGTTTTGAATTTATCTCTCCAGTGTGTCAGACTGTGTTGTAGTTTGTGTTTCTGAGGGCAAAGTTTGGTTTTTCAGCAAGACTGAATGGTTTTGAGTGGAGAGCTTCATTTTGACCTGAAAACAGGATTTTTGGGGAATTGGGTGAGAGAAGTTTTTGATTTGTGTTTAGAGTTTCGAGAAAAAGAAATGTGTATGAGAAATCGAGAAAAACTGTAACAGGTTTTAAGAATGTGGGACGACATACAGACATAACGACAAATATTTAACGCACGCGGCAGACGCTTCAGTCCAGACGCAGGACCACACTCTGCGTTTGTACTAAACGGTTTCAGAGCAGCGGTTTTGGAGACTCGGGATCTCACAGAATCTCACGTGATCAAACGTGACAGGAACAAACACGGAGGCAGACTGTCGTCATCAGCTGGTCGACCTTGTGTGTGAACTGTGGATGAACTCGAGGCTGAGGAGAGGGAATCAGCAGGTTTCTACATTTTATAAAGCAGCTACACAACACGCTGCTCAGCTCACTCTCATTGGCTGTTAGGGGTTTCTGATTGGAGGCTCTTATCCAGTGGGCAAACTTCAGATTCTGTCTGTAAACAGGATTTGGGCCGGTAATCTGTTCAGGGCGAATCTGACCCAAAATATCCTCTAATATGCTATTGCTATATATATATATATAGTTTTTTTTGCACATTCCTTGTTAAATATCCTGTATATGTTTTGCATTTTGTGTATTATTTTGTATACTTGTACATTTTTCTTTACTTGTTTTATGTTTATGTGTAATGTATAGCACCAATAGCTACCAAAGCAAATTCCTCGGGTGGGAAAATGTACCTGGCAATAAACCTGATTCTGATTCTCTCTGATACACCGAGATGAACTCTCCACTCCTCTGCACAGCAGGCGCTGCTCACCCGCCTGATCGTCACACTGAACCTTTTCAGAATCTGAACCAGAATCAGCTTTATTTGCCAGGTATGTGCACACATACGAGGAATTAGTTTCAGGACTGTACTTTGCTCACGATGTTCTTACTCACACAATAATACAATAATAAAATCAGAAGCTTTTTCCACTTCATTCACTTCTCTAAACAGAACTACCAGCGTCAGCATCACTACAACAACCCAGCAGCGACCCACCTCCATCCACTGCCCGTGGGACTTCATCTTGAGGACCACGCAGGGGTCGGGTTTGGACAGAGCATCGCGGTCCGAGATCCCCTTGCAGGTGAGCCGCAGCTCCACTTTGGTCAGACAGGGGCTGCTGAACAAACCCAGGGAGTTGGCGGCGGACTCGTAGATGTCACTCATGGTGGAGGCGGGACAGGAAGTCTGCACAGGAGAGTGGATCAATAGAAAACAGTGTTTCACAGAGGAGCACATCTTTAACACAGAGGCAAAGAAAGGAATTAGAATCACATTTATAACAAGGACAAATAAAAAGCAGAATAAAACCCACAAAGAGAGAATAAATGAGTTTTAGAAAATCCAGTCAGAGTGCAGCAAAAACCAACAAAGATAAAAATAAAAGTAGAGAAACCGACCACTCAGAAGCAGGAGAGCAGCAGAGTTGGGGTGCGTTCAAGGTCATCAGGGCGATAAAACGATAATAATGTTTGAATCACAAATTATTCACACTTTATTTTTCTATTAAAATGTTTTTTTTGTTGAGGAAAAGGGACTGAAAAAAGATTTTATTGGTTGAAATCAGTTCTGAATGTTCTGCCTCAGATTTATGAAGCGACCCACTGTTTGTTCTGACTTTCACTCAGGAGCATAAATCAGCCTTTAAACTGAAAGAAACAATGATGTAACATTTATTCTGATTATTATTGATATCACATGATATGAATTTTATTTTTTATCATTGTCCGTATCACTCAGCCCTTTGAGATCATCAGGTAGTCGCCTCACTGACTGCTTCCTGAGGCTCCTGCTGTGTTCATGTTCTCCAAGAAATTAATTAGAGTGATTCATAAACTGGCAGCAGCACTTTAAAAGCTCTTCTGTAAGCAGCTGGAGAGATTTAAGAGTTCTCGCTCTGACGGTCTTGTTGTTGAACACCGGAGCCGGAGACCGTTGACAAGCATTAAATATTAACAGTTTGATGCCCTTCCCACCCGCGAGCAGCCATTTAGAGCGAGCTGCACTGAGAGAAGCTGCTCTCGTGCCGACCGTCTCTGCGTAATGATATGAGGTAGAAACATTTCTGAAGTCTTCAGTGCAACACGAACCACTTACTCGACACGTATCCATACACTGTGGGAATATATCTTCTGATTGAACGTCATCAATATGCAAAGAATGAAAGTCAAATAATCACTGATGTTGCCATGAAACGCAAATCTTTTCATGTCTAATGATGGACAGTTGAGTGTGAGCCAGCTAATGGACAGCCTGAGAGCAGAAAGAGAATATGTAGCTATAGGAAGAAGACACCATTATCTCCAGAGAAGGAATAGACACCATTATGTTTAGAACAAGCCAGGAACTTGAAATAATGGCGTCAAGGGGAGCAGGATGCATTTGGAGAAGTGAAGCTCCCCAGTGAGGCCACAAAACATGTTTAAAATGTGTTACGGAGCCTGATCGGCTGCTTCCTGGGACCAGCTCACACTCACGTGTTCTGTTTTTCATTTACAGCAAACGTGTGTTGCATGGAACTATTTCACTCGAGTGTTTCACTGAAAAAAGAAAGTGTGAGAGGAGGTGAGGACGTCAACACTTCTTCATTAACACTTGAAGTCAATCCAGCAAAACGGCTCCACATAACACGCAGCTGCTTCAATGGAGCATTTATTCTGGAAATCTCCCATCAGACCGACAGTAGAAAAAGGTTTTCCAGCACCCCCCTCAAACCCTCTCCCCATCAATGTCTGCACAAAGTCTCTATTCCTTTATCACTTTAACATCTTGTTTATTCCCTGTTTTTCTTTATATTATATATGTTTATGTCTGGCACCTAGTCACAAAAGCAAATTCCTTGTACGTTTAAAAACTACTAAGCAATAAGCTGATTCTGAATGCAGTCAGAGTTCAGTCACAGCAGCATCTAATGGAATTTAGAGGATCTGCAGACAAGCACAGGCGTCAATAACAACATCATGAATGGCTCTGTTCTGCTCAAGCGTCCAGTGAGCCGTGGCAGCGTGAACCAGCATGCACAATACAAACTGAAGCAGCTTTTTGTTTTTCACACCTGGGCGACTCCAGCGGCTGCAGAAA